GTGTTTTTTTTTTTTTTTTTTTTTTTTTTTCAGTTAAACCCCCTATCTCTAGTCTCAGGTGAACGCTAATCTCTTTTGTCTTCCCCATCATGTTGTCAAGTGCAAGAATAACAATGGTGACACACTATGCACCACATGATGTTCTTTGCTGGAATTATCACAAATATTCTACTGAATAAATAGTCTAGAAGGCTTCACCGATAAAATAATTATGTAAATTTCTTATACTTACATAACTCAACAAATAATTTTGTCTTTTCCTATTTTGCATAATCCGTCTGTCAAATTTCTTGTATTTAATCTATTGTTCTGAAAATTGAGTTTTAGATTCCTTTTTCTGTACTTATTAACATATTAAAAAAACTGGCATCATATGGGCATTAGATTCTGAGAAAGGGATAAAAATATTCAAAATTTATGGTTGTATGAATAATTTTGGGGTTGACTGTAAATTTACTAAAATAGGTTGAGAGCATCTCTTTTTTTTGAACCAAACATTCTTTTGTTTGATATGTTTACTAAAATTTTCTTGTTCTATAGTTATTTATAAAATGGTAAATAATAAATCTTGCATTGCATTTGGTACGCATATTTTTATAATCTTGTAAATAAACATTGTCAAAAGGGTATGTAATAATAGTGGTGTCAAGGGAATAACTGTCCATTTGACATACTATTTTTTTTATGTACATGAAGGTTAAATATTGCCAATAGATTTATGTATAACTTTTGTGATATACGGTGGCTGTTAATAATTAAGTATAACTCAAGACTTCAATGTTAAATAAAACAGTATTTAATTACAACTGCAAATAAATACTTAAGAACAAAGGAGTAAAATCAACCAAAGATAATTAACCATTTCAGTGAATATCTTTTTAGTAGTGTGGCTTGGCTTAACATCCATTAAGTTCTAAATCAAAATCTAAGTCATTGATGCACAATAATTCACACTAATTCAAGTGGATAGTTTCAACTCAATAGTCACTCCTGACACAGCTATTTATACACCTGGCGGAAAACATATATTCATAAGTCCAGAGTGTCATGCTTGAACCCCGGTGTCAGTAGTTATTCATTTTCTTCCAATATGAGTAACTAGCTTAAAAGCCATGCTATCAGGTGGCATTTAAGTTAGCTCCTGTGGAGGACTCTTGATAGTGACTTTGTCACAATAGGTAGGGAGGAGTATATGCAAAAGACAACAATAAACTACAGAAGGACAAAAAATTGATCTTTCCATTTAAGTATTGCATTAATATTTAAGCTTACCTTTTAAAAGTTCAACGATAATTTTTCTGTTGCCACTTAATTTAAAGACAATTTCATGTAAGTAGTTCCTTACTTTTGGTACAAACAATTATTTTTTATTTCGTGGCTGACTTTTGTTGGATTTTTCGCAATCAGTTTTGATTATTCTCAAATTCATTTCCCTGTTATAAAAATTGTTATTGTACAAAAAAATATGTTGCAAAAAAATCATGTAAAAAAAAAAAAAAAAAAAAAAAATAAAAAATAGCTGAAAACAATCACAGTAATCCAAAATTTCAAGGTTGTGGGTCTGGATTCAGCCTAGAATGTTTTTAATTTGCTTATGGAGTTGGTCTGATTCTAAAATAGTATATTGTAGGGCTACAACGTCTATGGGTAAAGTTGAAACAGTGTGACACACTGACATTGGCATTTATTATATAGATGAATGTGTTCGTATTGATATTGGTAAATTTAATAGATAATTTTTATATTTAATCAGCTGAAATTCCAAATGTTGTACAGGTTTTATCCGTTTTTGTGTCTTTAAGTATTAGATTCTTACCTGCATAGATGTGTCATACTTGTGACATGTGGCCAATAAATATGTGACATTTTAATTTTTAAATATTACTCTGCTTTTTTGTCTCTGTAATATAAATATCTAAATAGGAAAAATAAATTATTTGCTGAGGAATTTGTCATGGGTTGGTGAGAGTTTAGTCTGAGCAAATAAAAAAAAAAAAATGATTTATTGCTGAAACTAGTTTACCTATGCTGGAAAAATATTTTAAGTCTTTATTATTTATTAATATCCTGATGTCTTATTTTTAGATTTTTCAGATCCTGTTTTACTCCTTCTACCACTATTATATCCAAGGAACTGCCATCTGGTATTGCCAGATCATTCTAGTTTTCATGCTCTGGTGAAATTAGGATTAGAGACAAAATATATACGAATACATTTGACATATAGTATGCTTTTATACTGGTTAACCAAATAAATTAAAAAACAAAAAAAACAAACTTTTAATAGTTTTTAGGTGTCAGTATGAAGTTTGTTCAGAATATATTTGAACCATTTTGAATATCTCTAAGCAGTTGTAGCATTCATGTAACTTGGCAGCCAATTCAAGCACTCTCCTGTCAGGTTACTCGGTCAGCAATGATGCTATTGAGTGAGATGAACTATCACATTCACAACAATCAAGCAAGTAAATATCACATCACCCACATCTGTCAGTCCAACTATAGTTCCTCCTTGATACTTCAGGCTTTTCCCTAAAGCTAACATAAATAAAACCTGTTTAAATTCTATGGACAAGATTAAGGAGAATGTAATAAAGCAGCTCTTGAAATATGGCTTTGCAGATTGTTGAAAAGTGAGTGACACTGAAATGGATGTGTAAACTCTTAAAACGAGTATTTTGTTTGAAACTAAAGCACCATTGCCCTAGGTAGGATATTTTTCCTGCTAAACCACTTAACTTAGCTTCATAAGATAGAACACTAAATGAGGTGGAGAGATAGAAAGATTGTGTTGCAACCTTCAAAGTGAGGAGATACCACCTGTTTATTTTGGTACCTGTTGCTATATGACAGCAAGAAGAACAAATTTCAAATCTGAATTGTTGGTTCTTTTAAAATATTACATTTTAGAAAATATATTCTTTCTAAATACAGGAGTTATTCACAAATGAATGAAATTATTTTTGATGCATTTTTTTTTTTTTTTTTTTTAAGAAATTCTTAAAAAATATTTTTTTTAAATTTGCTATGCCACATTAATTTTATGAAATTTTAAAATTCTTTTTCTTATATCACTTAATGTTTCTATTAGTTATAAGTGCAAGTCTTAGGATAATTTAAATCATCAAATTTTTGGGTTAAACAGGAAACTGTTACAGAAAATCTGCCCTGAATTGTGAAATAAAAATGCAATAAAACTAAGTCATTTAATTAAAAATGCTTTTAACTGGTTTTACAAATAAGCTATATTATGGCCACTATTGTGTTAAGAATTTTGTTTTATGAATAATGAATTTTTACAAATATTTTCATTTTTAAAAATTTTGATTAGAATAACTCTAAACTTTTAAAATTCTGTATTAATTTGTAGTGGTCAAATGATAGTATTAAATAAAAACTATATTTACTAATCATAAATAGAAAAGCTTACCACAATTCAGTAATTGCCCCCATTTTAAAAAGATTTTTTTTTTTTGTGTGTGTGTTTCAATGTGCTGCTTTTTGTAAATATGGATGTCCATACACAACATATCAGAAAATAAAAGCAGTAACTATAGTAAATTTAAAATTTATTGGTAAGTTTCTAAATATTTTCTAGACAAGCACCTTTGTAAGTAAGATTATAATCTACTATCTATATTTCTCATGTTATCTGTCTGTCTGTGTCTGTCGTGGGCGTTGTTACCTTGCCCAGGCTGCATTTCTCATCCGATTTTGATGCGGTTTTCAACACAAGTTTGCAAATAGCTGCTGTAAGGACATAACAGAGCCCGATTTTTGAGTTCGGAATCAGGTTCCGAAAAAATCGATAATCGAAAAAATTCTGCTTACAGAAGGAATGATTGCATTTCAACCAAATTTGACACCCTCTTAGAGTCTACCATTAGAAGTGTTGTCCAGAAGTTTCATGACCACGGACCCCTAAACAGCGCGGAAAATCGATAAAAAAAAAACCGATACGCCCAGATTGCGTCTGAACCACATGTCAGTTTTCAGCAAAAACCGAGCAGATTTATGAAGAGGCCATTGGGAGTCATCATGTGAAGTTTCAACTCTGAGCACCCACCAAACAGAGTGCAAATCGACAATCGGTCGACCCTTAAAAATGTTTTTTCCGTTTTTTTAAAGCTGATCATATTGTGTTTATTTTGTTTAGTTCTTTTTTCGTAACAGATTTAATGTTTACTATAGAGCTTAGAAAAAGTTGGCAGTGTGATATAGGCAAGAAGTAAGGCATGTAACAACATCAGCACAGCAAAGGGCACTCCTCTAAAGGCAAGGAAGGGCAAAAATATTTTAAGTCAAGTGATAGCGATTGCTGTATTAGTCGTACTATTTTTGAATCAAGCATGGGCAACGCCGGGCCATGCTGCTAGTGCAAAATAAAATATTAGAATGTTTAAAATATTAAATTTTTTTAATATAGTTAAAAAGTTTTTTTCTAAAAGAGGCATTTGTCATATTCGCCATGTATTTTTTTTTTACTATAGTTATTTCTCCCTTATATAAATCTTGCAAACATCATGTGTCAAATCAAAAACACTTACTTCTATGTTAAAAAAATATTTTTCTACAATATTTTAATCTAAAAGTAATATTTATTTTTAATTTAGTTTCAGAAAAGTATATTTTATTTGTGAAAGATTTGTTAATTATTCTGAGTTGACACATTTGTCAATAATGGACAATTTTAGTGATTTTAATGTTAGTCAAAAAAAAAAAAAAAAGAAAGACATTTTAAACTTTAGGTGACACATTTTTGTGTGTGTTTATTTTTTTCTTTCTTTTATATTTTATTTTTTTTTAATCATCCATGGTAGCACTTAAAGGAGAAAATTAAAAAAAAGAAAATTCATTCTTAAAACTTTTTCATACTAAAGAATTTTTTTTTTGTATAACATATAGATTACTATGCATTTATGTTATTTTGCTGCTTTGCTTTAAAAAAAAAAATTGCAAGCAAATTTCTTGAATAATATTGTTTGATATTTGTTTTACAGGAAGGGGAGACGGAAAGACAAGGATTCTCCAACCCCACTTGTCCAAGATGAACAACGACAATACTTACAAGACAGTTGTGTTCAAGAGAGAATTATACAAGCTGATTTTGAAAAAATTGTTGAAATTCCACTTTGTTTGGATTACTGTGAATGGTTAGCTACTCATGGTGAGTATGTACATTGTCTACTGTTTCAACCAATATTTTTTCAATTTTAAAAAATTTTTTTAATTTTCATGTAAATTAATGTCAAAACTTTCACCTGTGCTTTCAATGTGGTACATAAAAAAAAAAAATCATTCTTTTTTTTTATTTTAAAATTAAAAAAAAATTATTTACAGATTAGATTTTTTTATCATTTTTTTTTTACCTTATATTTTTTTCCTTTTTTTTTTTTACCTTAGATTTTTTCTTTTTTTTTTTTTTTACCTCAGATATTTTTTTTTTTTTTTACATGAGATTGCTTCTCCTTTTTTTATACACTAGATTGGTTCTTAAGGACACATGGCACAGTGGATAAAGGCATTGGTTAGATCCAGTGACAGAACCCAAAGAGTTGTAAGTTCAATACCAGAACTTGGAGAGGTTAATTAACATGAGATAACTGATATCCATTAGATATGGCATGTGGAACTAGAACAGTCTGCCCCAGCGGGCAAAAAAAAAAAAAAGAAAAAAAAAAAGGGGTTCAGTTTGACATTCCAATCACCTGAAGAAGGCCGGAGCATACATCGGCTGAAACATTATAAATGTGGCAACAAAGATGAGGACAATAGTCCAAATAACATAAATAGTGTACATAATACCTCATCTCAGAAATATAGACAGATGTTCTTCTAAAAATGCAATAATTCAAAATATTGTTCAAACATGCTTAGTATCATTATAGTACAATATTGAGTAATAGTATTTATTAGTCATACGTACTGTTTCATTTATATCAAATAGCAATCGGTAGTAGGTTTCATAGGAATTGACATGGATGCAATGAATGTTTGTGAGCACTTGGCCAACACATCCTGCCTTTGCAGTACAACAAGACTTCATTGTAGCAAATTGTGGTGCAAATTTAAAGCGTTTAAAAAAACAAAAAATGTTTCATCTGATGATATTATGCCAAGTTAGGTTGGTAGCAGATGAGTGATACCAAATTGGATCAGAAGTTAACTAGACCAGAAACTTTCTTTAAAGATAATGAAAAAAAGTAACCTGAATGTTTAGAATAATGTGTAAAAAAAAAAAAAAAAAAATATTGATAACCACTTTAATTCTTCTGTTTGGTCTAAAAAACATGTTTTATATGATTGAAGACACTTTTTCAAGCAATACACATTGAAAGATTGTAACATTTTAAAATACTGTGCTCAAAATATGCATAGCTGTAAGCATATCTATCTCATTTTATCCCGTGTGATTCTTTAGGAAGACTCCTTTACAAACAGTTGCAGCTGTTTCATTTTGTGTATTTAGCAACTTGTGCATCTTTGAGCATTATTGATATATTACACAAGGCATTGATTTGATCTTTTCATGGTTAGAATTAAAATTAAAATTATTTTTCAGTTTTTGTTTACATTTTTTCTTTTTTTTTTTTTACATTGTTTTTTGTTTCTTTTTTTTTTTTTACATTGTTTTTTGTTTGTTTTTTTTTTACATTGTTTTTTGTTTCTTTTTTACATTGTTTTTTGTTTCTTTTTCACATTGTTTTTTGTTTCTTTTTTTTACATTGTTTTTTTTTTTTCATTGTTTTTTGTTTTTTTTACATTGTTTTTTTTACATTTTTTTTTTTTTTACATTGTTTTTTTTTTACATTGTTTTTTGTTTCTTTTTTTTTCATTGTTTTTTGTTTCTTTTTTTTTACATTGTTTTTTGTTTCTTTTTTTTTACATTGTTTTTTGTTTCTTTTTTTTTTACATTGTTTTTTGTTTCTTTTTTTTTTTACATTGTTTTGTTTCTTTTTTTACATTAGATTGTTTTCTTTTTTTTATTATACATTAGATTGTTTCTATTCATTTGCAGCTGTTTCATTTTGTGTAATTAGCAACTTGTACATCTTTCAGAATTGATATATTGCACAAGGCATTGATTTGTTCTGTTTACAATAAAAAATTAAAATTGTTATTCAGTTAAATCCTAGCCTGCTTATCAAAAGCCAACTTAGACAATCTTAACTATCAATTCTAAGCTCATGTTGGTAAATGCTACAATTAATAGACACTGATGCACCAATCCTGTGTCCATGTTAGTATAATATATGATAATTTGGAAAATTTCCATTTTCTGTTGTTTCACCAATTAAGCAGCATTATTAAAAAAAATGTTTAACATATTTACCCAGAAAAAAAAAGATGGAGTGTCAAAAGAACAGTTTTTCTCTTGACACCACTATTAGTGTTATACACCCTTGATAATTTTTATAGTTGTTTTTAGAATTTTAATAAAGCCCAAACATACAAAATGGGATTTATATATATTTTTTCTCAAGAATTGACAACAAAAATGTTACACATTATTTATAATTTGTTCTCATAGTTATTTCTATGGTGAATTACAAATGTTGCACTAGTTGGTTCACATTTTTATAATCTTGTAAATATAAATTATTCTAATAAGCAGTATTTAACAGTGCTAAATGTTTGCTTAAGACAAGGCTCAAGAGACACTCATTATACAGAATAACATGCATGGACATAAAGAGAGGAAGTAACTGCAGATTATGAGGACATGTCGGATAGATAATAGTTGACTCCAGACTTAAAAAGATCAAGATTGTAGTGATTGGGAAAGCGTCATCTTGGGAGTTTACTCCACAAAGAAGTGATTCTTGAAGTTGTCTGAGTAGAACTTTCTACTTACTAAGGGAATGAGGATGATTTGATATTGTGAATGTGGCGTAGGGGATCTTAGCTGTAAAAAAAAAAAAAAAAAAAAAATGTAGCTCACAGAAATAGTGATAAGCTTGAGAAAGGAGCCCTAAAGGTTGAAAATAATTTATTGTAAACAAGGTTGTGTAAACCCTTTTGAACCTGCAAAGTGAGGATTGGGCAGCTACAGCCCAGATATGGCAGCAATACTCCATTTTTTTTTTTTTTTTTTTTTTTTTGGTCTGATCTGATTCTTGTAACGATAAAGCATGACAGAAACTTAAAGCAGACATTTATAAAGTTTAGTTGAGTGTAGTACAAAACCTTTAAAAGCGGTGTACCCATGGAGGTTAATAAACTGCTAATAATAATATTAATGAGTTTGAGAAATGAATGTTTAAGTTGAATGAAATCTGATTTTTGTGTTTTTTTCATTTCTTACTACACAACTGTTAAATCTAAATACACATACTTTTTTTTTTTTTTTTTTCTTTTTTCCCCATTTTTTAATTTTCTTTTTTTCTTTTTTAGAATTTTTTTTTTTTTATTTTATTTTTTTTTTTTTTTTCTTTTTTTTTTCTTTTTTTTTTTTTTTTTTTTTTTTTTTTTTTTTTTTTTTTTTTTTTTTCTTTTTTTTTTTTTTTTTTTTTTTTTTTTTTTTTCTTTATTTTCTTTTTTTTTTTTTTTTTTTTTTTTTTTTTTTTTTTTTCATATAAAAATTTTTATTTTATTTTTTTTTATTTTTTTTTTATTTTTTTTTTTTTTTTTTTTTTTTTTTTTTTTTTTTTTTTTTTTTTATTTTTCTTTTATTTTTTCTTTTATTTTTCTTTTTTTTTTTTTTTTTCTTTTTTTTTTTTTTTTTTTTTTCTTTTTTTTTTTTTTTTTTTTTTTTTTTTCTTTTCTTTTTTTTTTTTTTTTTTTTTTCTTTTCTTTTTTTCTTTTATTTTTTTTTCTTTTTTTTTTTTTTTTTTTTTTTTTTTCTTTTTTTTCTTTTTTTTTTTTTTTCTTTTCTTTTTTTTTTTTTTTCTTTTTTTTTTTTTCTTTTCTTTTTTTTTTTTTTTTTTTTTTTTTTCTTTTCTTTTTTTTCTTTTTTTTTTTTTTTCTTTTTACCCCAAAGCAACGTGATAATGCCACTAAGATATAAGTGCTTACTGAGAATGAAAGAGAATAAGAAGACTTTAGTGAGGAGAAAGAATAATAAAGGAACAGGATTCAGGAAAACCGAAGATGGTGATTTATATTGCATTTAAATTTTTGAAGATTGTAGGTGGCATGAAAGCAAGAAATCGGAGGTTTTGCAGTCAAGAAGTGTCAGAAAAGAATATTAGAATAGGACTTTGGGTTACATCTATAGCTATTTCAATGGTAAAATGAGACCTAGTTACCAATCTTGTATTACACTTAAATTCATGCAGTTGACTTACCAAGGAGGTGAGCTCATTAAAACAGCTGCCACGAAAATATTTATAAAAAAGACGGAGGGAAGCCATGTCATAGCAGTGAGAAAGTGACTGAAGTCAAGATGTCCTATCAGGACTGATATCATTACAAATCCTTCTTTGGATTTTATTGAGAATCTTGAGATATATAGCAGGAGCACCAGACCAAATATGGCAGCAGTATTCAGTGCGCAGAGAAAAACATGTATTTATAAATATACAAGATGGATTCTGGTGAGAAAAATTATTTGGCATAACACAATGAACTAATCTTCCTAGCATTGGACCTAGCAATAGATTAAATTTAACAAGAAATTTCTTGTCCAGTTAACAGATTGCAGGTAATTTTTGAGAACAGCTGTCAGTTTCATTTTGTTGGATCTATTGAATTTACTGTTAAGACAAGTAAATAGTTGTCATAAATACCTAGTTGGGAAGGTCATTGATAACGATAAGAGGCAGCATAGGTTCAAGGATAGAGACACTCCCCTCTGCATTAATGTGAAAGGATCTAGAAGCATTAATTCAACACAACTTTCGTTATGTAATTTAAGATTGAATTAAGTCAGATGCCATATACATTTCAGGTATCTAAATCTACAGCCTGAGCCTTGCTGTTTTTATTTAAAGTTTGATAGACAAATTCAGTAGTAACAGTTAACACATTGGCAATTGACCCAGAGATATTGTTGTAACATAGGTTACTGAATAGAATAATCAAATGAAGGTTGGTAATGAACAATAATACTTAGGACACAAATAGCACATATAAGATTCGTCAGTGGTGTGTAGACATAGTCAACTGCTAGAAATGAGTCAAGTGAATTCCACAATGAATCTTCAACTGCAGACCAACATACAGTAT